GATACTAGCGAGGGCCTCATCGTTCAAAGAACCGAGTCGCTCCAGGGCATCCCGCATATCGCTATCTATACTGGCTACCCCACTATTCCAATAGTTTCTTCGACGGGTAAACAGCTCTAATTTAATCCAAGATTCACCAATCCGGTGGATTTTTCTCACGCCTTGCAAGAGTTCAAATACAACGACAATATTCTCCGTTATGCTTGAACTTTCCCCGCGGGCAGCAGTCACTCTTGGTAGAGCAATACCTATAACGGTGGTGATAATGGACTGCGCCAGCGCAGCCTCGCAGTTCATTGGGTTGATACTGTCAACAGCTGCGCGATATGGCGCAAATGTGAGATTGTGATATTGGAGGGCGATATCAATGTACACCAGCGATGCCGGTGGCTCGATTGTGGCGGCAATATGAAGAGCCCCCAGAGCCAGAATGCCGTTCATTAAAAAATCATACTGAAGAGCCAGGCGAGGAATAGCAATCTGCCAGACGTAATGCTCCGAGCTGGAAGAGCAAAGACTCTTATAGGTTTCTGTGGAAAACTTATGCATAAGCTCCAGATCTCGCACCGCTGAAATGGTTGAAGAAACGGGAGCTGTCAGCCTAGGGATCCTCGGCCGCAGGGGAGTGTCTATAATAGCCAACGGGGCCGGGGTCTGGCTTGCTCGTGAATCGGGCCGAGCCGGCGCTCTTAAATATGTGCATGGGAGTTCCCGTGAGATACAATTGGAGCACGGTGGCCCCTTTTCGTCACACTGCATTCGTTAGTCTCGTCATTTGATGGAGCCCGGGACAATCTATGGGGCCATCCCAAGTTTCCGGAACTCACCTTGACGCGACGTCTCTTGCACTGATCGCAGCCTTGGCGAGATTTAGTGTGCGCTCGGCGAGGAGGCATCTCGGAAATCACGGTACCTGAGGGTCCATGTAACCGGTTTGCTCGGATCCTTCGAGACGTGGAAGAGTCCAAGCGCGGGAGAGAAGATGATGTGGAGGAGTCACGTGGACCGAGACTATAAAAAGACTTCCCTGTCTTGTTTTCTCTCTTCTGTATGGTTTAATCCTTTTTACAGTTTCTACCTTCTACTTCTTCGTCCGGGTGTCATTATTTGATAATACTTTTTAAAAGGCCGTGGTCGCTTCGTCCCCTATGTCAGCATTAGCCTTACACAGTCACATGTCCCAATATAGCCCTAGGACGGACTTGAAACTATGAACTCAATACCGACTGACATTATCTAGAATCTATAGATTTCTACAGATTCTAGAAAGAAAAGTCCTTCTCGGACCAAAATCTCTCGGACCAAAAGCAACAAATCCCCGAAAGGATCAAAGCGCCTTATAGAAAACAAGTGGATCCGACGTAAGCGACGTGGAGAAAACGAGAACGAGAACGAGAACGAACGAGAACGAACGAGAACGAGGGCAAGAAACAGCCAATAGCAATGCATTTGGAGCCGGTTTCATCATGTTGAACCAATTTAGGGCTCCACCTGCTGGAGATGTTGTTGCTGCGGCCCCTTGATATTGAGTTGACCTGCCTGAAGGCTGATAAATTTATGATTTGATATCCAACCCCTCCAGTGATTTTCTCCATTGAGAGACTCGAGGCCCTTTTTCTTGTTATCCCACCTTCTAGGACTTACTCTCACTCAGCTCTCTTTTACTCTCCTTCCTTTACTCTATATTTCTTTTCTTTTGATTACACATCTCACCCAACATGGCGGGCTACGACACTTGCTTTGAAGTAAGCCCACAATGCCCTGTTGAACTCACGACATACGGTTATTACCCCAATCTCGGCGGAAACATCTTCTTCACAGTCGTTTTTGGCCTACTCGGAGTATGCCAAACCGGTCTCAGCATCTACTACCGAACATGGACATTCTTGATAGCTCTGCTCATTGGAACATTTATGGAAATGGCTGGGTACATTGGCAGGGTTCAAATGCATTATAATCCATGGTCGGCACCTGCATTCAAACTCCAGATCGTGTGTCTGGTGCTCTCGCCGACCTTCGTCGCGGCGGGTGTCTACCTAACGCTGAAGCATATCATTCTGACCTTGGGACCCGAACACTCGATCTTAAAGCCGCGCCTTTTCACCTGGATCTTCATCGGATGCGATATTGGCTCTCTTCTTTTGCAAGCTGCAGGAGGTGGTGTCGCCGCAGCTGCTGGTAACGATGACTTCCAAATGCTCAAGGCAGGCGACAACATTATCATCGCTGGTATCGCCTTCCAGGTCGGGACCATGGTTGTATGTGGATTCTTTGCTACTGTCTTCTTCTGGAGGGTCTTCAAGCACGGTGATGGGTTTACGGGCGAGAAGAACCTCGATTCACCGATTATTTCCAAGTGGCTGCCGTTCGTCGTGGGCGCCGAGGTCTTTGCCTATGTCACAGTCTTGATTCGGTGCATTTATCGGTAAGAGCCAAGATGCGTCCAAACAAGACACTTTACTGACCTTGATATCTAGTATCCCGGAGATGGCTGGTGGCTGGGGAAACCCGCTGATGCAGAAGGAGAATGAGTTTCTTCTCTTGGACGGAATGTAAGTGGTCTCTTGGTTCCTTTGAAAGCCGGGGATATCATAGCTGACGTGTCATTAGGATGATTACTCTCGCCTGTCTGGCCTTCACCGTCTTCCATCCTGGAAAGTTCCTCCCATCATTGCGCTTCACGTCCAAGACCCGCACATAATAACATTCTTTTATATTTCTTTTGCGGGTGCTCTCGGCGTTTTTTAGATACTTTCTTTCCAGCATGTGCCTATGCCAGAGATGATATACTCTACTTAATCAGGGTGTAATGAAAACATAAGAATCGTAAGAGATCCCTTTCCTGAGCATACTTCCAGCGATCCGTAGCAGACCTTCCTGAGATGACTCATGGGCGATATCATTAGTCTATAAAAAAATATAGTTTTACAAATTGACATGTCGCTTTGTGCTATATCACAGATAGACTGAACAACGATGGCTGCCAGAATATGCTATCGCCCCACAGCTCCAAACCAGCATAAGCCTAAAATGGCACCCATTACAATCGCCATGGCGGGGGGCACATTGAACCATGCACTCCCTGCATATGTTACCGCCGCAACAACTACCCACCATGGTTCCTTACCTAGACTCTGTCCGTCGCTTCCTTCAGGAGTCAGGTATCCAATCTCCCACAACCGGTATACAGCTGTAAATACTAGCCCAACTGCAGTAGCATTCACTCCTCTTAGAAAATCGATCACACACTTCTTCTTCCGCAATACACGCCAGAAGCTTTGAATTGCAACGGCCAGCGTGATTCCCGGAAAGAAGATTCCTAAACCGCCGAGAAACGCACCGAAGATGGTTGGGAAGTGCGAGCGCTGCAGTGCTAGCGCCCCCAAGAAGACAGCGAAGTTGAAATTAGGACCGGGAAAAGCTTGAATAATGGCAAGGCCGATCAGGAAGTCTCTACTAGAGACCCACCCGGGATCGACGACATAGGAGCGTAAAAGGGGAATGACAACAGGACCTCCACCAAAGATAACTGTGCCAGCAAGGTACATATTGGCAAAGAGGTCGAGGGCCAGTGGAGGTGTGGTGAGCTGGCCTCTGGCAACAAGAATCCCGATAAAGGAAGCTAACCATATTAGTGTTGACTCTCCGGAAATTTGTCAGGTAGGGTGGGTGCACACCAAAAAAGAGAACCACGACCAAAACTCCGACCCGAATCCGAATAATGTGCTGTGGTGAGGGATCTTCAGCGGACTGCGTTGGCCTTGTAGTATGGACTGTACTCTGTGGTAGTCCTTCGATTCTAGGATCCGTCCTTCTCGGTCGCGTCGTCTCACTCCTTTGCACTCTATTCTCTTCCAGGGTTATATGGTTCATGCCTGTGGGGTCCCCATTTGTCACTTCAGGTTCTTGTGGACGACTATGTCTGTTCTTCCATGCGATCCTTGCTCTCGAAAATTGTTGATACAACCATCCATCCCAGATGCTCGTGAGGAAACCACCGATAATCATCAGCACGGGAAAATACCAGAGTGCATTGTAACAGAGACCAGCACATGCGCCAAAGATCACAAGAATCCGGGATAGTTTATCGCGAATAGCTTTTTCGGCCAACTGTACGGCCGCAAGTGCAACGATGCCTACTGTGGAGGCGTTGAGGCCGGAAAGTAGGGAGTAGATGGGTTTGGGAAGGGTTTCACTCATGTTTTGCACACCAAGTGAGAGGGCATACATGCCAATTGCGCCAGGAAGACTGACACCGTTAGTTGGAACAGATAGCGGGCTTTGTAGCATAAATGTATAGTCACCTCCAAATAAAAAACACAAGCATGGCAGGAATAAATCCTGCATGTAATAGGGCTAGGCAGAAAATCATCTTCGTGCTACCGGGACCCGGAAGGCCCTGACAAATAGCAAAGAGTTCCTGATACTGTGAGATTTGTTAGCAGCCACTATGACATTGAGACTCGCCAGCTTGAGAATATGAAAGGAGAATCGTACAGTCTGCTCATCTACCCATTTTTCCTTGCCGCCCTGTCCCTCCACGAACCTGCCATGCAGAATCTGGAAGTGTACTGGTGGTCCTCCGAAGGCTGTAAAACCTAGATCCCATGTACGCAGAAAAACGTCCACCAAACGCCCTGGCAGAGGTTTTTCCGTTCCCTCATTTCCCCTCGAAACCCTGTGGCTGCCCCATTTGTGATTCAGCCGGGCGAGGGAAGAGAGGCATTGCGAAAGGGGGAAGAGGAGTGGCATACTGTTTTCGGTCGTTCGAAATGTTCATTTAACAGCTGCGCGGATCTTGCGGTCAAGTACAGATATCAAGATAGCTAAGGAGGATAAGATCTCATCAAACGCGAGCAGCGAGTACTGCTATAACCTTTCGTTCGCCGTACCTTCCATACCTTCCAAATACCAAGCCAAGATGTTTAGTAAGCTCCGACATCACACTAAAGTCAAAATAACCAATCAAGATACGGCAATGAAGCATGTATCGTACCACAATGCCCCCCTGCTTTCAACAAGCTGCTCAGCTTGTCCACGAATTTCCCTACTCCTCCCGGGTCGTGATAATCATCACCTCTCCGCTCCAACGCGCTATTCAAACCGCCCTCGCTGCATTTCCGCATGTGTTGGATAAACGCTACTTCTGTCCTCACTCGGGGCAAGGCATTGAGAATGGCTCATTGCTCGTTATAGACCCAGAACTACAAGAACGGAGTGCCTTCCCGTGTGACACCGGTTCCTCTCGTAAGGTTCTAGAGGAGGCCTTCCGTATAGATTTCAGTGCTTTGGCGGAGAACTGGCATATAAAGGAGGGTCTGTACTCCCCAGATGACGATGCTGTGAAAGAGCGGGCAAACTGCGTGAGATCTCGTGTTGCTGAAGTAGTGCACAATTTGAAGGACAAGGAAAAGAGACAAGTTGTTGTCGCTCTACATTTGTGCTAGATCTACGTCAGATTCGGAAATTACTTCGGAAATAGATTCGATCCAAACCAGACAAGGACGCTGGATAAAGCTCCAGCCTCATGAAATCGCAAAGAAATGCACCACAAAGTAACCAGCGATGGAGAGCATGGCAAAGTATTGCTCGCTCTATGCAATAAAGAAGAGAAAAGAAGAGAACACCGCTCGCCGCGGTGCATTGAAGAAGAAGAACCCCGGCAACTCCATGTTAAATCAGACATAACCCGCCATCTTAAATTGCCGTGTATAATTAAATCGTGTCTAGTCATCCAACGTGAGACGGACGCACCGTCGGACACGCTTCTTAAACTCCGCAGGGTCCTCACGCCATAGCCGAGCAGCCTCCACATTCGCCGGGCTCTCGTCGTTCGGGCTGGAAAGCATAGAGATGACGGACAAAAGGATCGTCTCGGGGGTTTGCACGGGAGACCAGCGTTCCGCAGCCGACTCATAGCCGTATTTGTCCTCCTCGGGCGGATGGAGAATGGAAATGCAGACGTCGCCACTCTCATAAACTATTAAATCGGAGTAAATTGTGAGTAAGTTGTCTGTGATAAATAATTCAACCGGAACCACGTACTATTCGGATGGAAGATAGGAGATTCGAACTTCATCTTTGGCGGCCGGTGAGGGTATTCTGATGGGAAAGAGAGACGAGCTCTAAAGAAACCACCTAGGCAAGCAAACTTGTTAGTATTCTTCAACGCACTTGCAGCAACATGTCCCTAGGCGGCATTATGTTTGCCACAGCACCAGTCGAGGAATTGACGTCAAATCCATAGAGAAATGAGGCCATGACATACCTCCATACAGCTTCACATCGTCTGATATCATGAGCATAACCTCCCATTCGAAAACGTTATTATCGACCAAGCCACAACTGATGCCGGGAATATCCTTATCGGACTGCATCTGCTGCAGTTGGCGGGACAGCATGCGCCCGGCGGGAGAAGTCGCCATGCTGATAGTCGAGGAAGATAAAGCAGAAGAGTGGAAGGGTGGAATTGGGTCGATATCTGAAGTCGGTTTCAATGTCAAAAGAAGGACAAAGAGGAGGAGATGAGGAGACGGTGAGGGGCGCAAAAAGAAATGTAGGCGGTAAGGCTAAAGCGGGGTTTGATAGCCTAGATGGGGAGGCGGTATAGACCATGGGCACGTAATTAGTTGCTACTTTGTATGTCTAGGTAGCCCTGGAGGTATAGACTCAATGAGGACCTTAGGAATGTCATTATGTTTAAATCTCGTAGTGCATGAGGAAGGTGAAAGACTATTGTATGAGGCAAACATTTCAATCTCTCCCAATGATATAGATATAGCAAACGCAACAATCACACACACATCCCAGCATTTCATAATGTACCAAACATCGGATCTCAATGGCTTTTTACTTTCAGCTCATTTAGAGTCCAGGGGCACCCATATCAATGGGCTTGGCAGTCTTGGAAATCCAAAAGATCTGACCACCAAGTACCAGAAGAGCGAAAAAACCAAGTGCCACCTCCATGGCAAATGTCTTGCCAATAACCTTGGCGAAGCGGACACGGGCAGCCCAGTCAAAGGTAGTCCATGCATCCATGAGGCCGATCTTGCCGCTGCCACCGGTGATGGCCGGACGGACTTTGCCCCCGAAAGAGCGATCAAATGGCACAATAGTCTCATCCTCCTCGGGAAGCATGGAGGCAGCCACACGGACAAAGATGACACGAGCAGGCATAGATATCAAGAATGCCAGAAGAGCAGGAACCACACTGACGCCCATGAAGCGGTAGATGGCTACAATAGGCGGGACCTCCTGATCACCGGAAACATCGAGCCAGCCAGCAAGATTGGCAATGGCCATGGGGATGAAGAAAGCAGCAGCGGTGAGAACATCCTGGAGAGCAGCGGCTGGGGCAATCTTGATCCAGGTCTTGTAGCTGGGGATACGCTGGTAGAAGCGCTTTGGAGAGGGCTCGGAGATAACAATGTGCACCCAGGCCATCTGCCAAGTAGCCAGCACCACGCTCAGGACGGATTGAACGACAAACTGGCCCAAATATGAATTGGTAGGCACAGGGACAAAAGCTGACAGGAACCCGCGGGCCATAGTGTAGGCCACAAACATGCCCATTCCACGGAAGCGAGACCAGAAGCCAGCGCGGGAGCGGAGGTGCTTCACAGTGGTGCGCAGCTTGCTGGTGATAGGCTTGAGGGGAGTAGGAGCGAGCAGCTCGGGATCATCCTCGTCGGTTGGCTTGGTGGGATCGGGACCGGGAGTAATGCGTACGTAGATATCGGGGTTGGTATCTTCCACTACAGCCAGAGTGGAGATCACCATTCCATAGGTATACTCGATCTGTCGAGTATTAGTTCCACAAGGTGATATCTGGAAAGATTGTATTACTTACAGACCAGAAAGCAAGCCCAATCAAAATAGCAGTGATAGCAAACAGAGCCACCAAGCCTCCATTCGGCTCCTGCTTCTCAGGCTTAGACTGCATGTGAGTGACAGCAAGCTCGGTGCCCCGACGCATCAGGACATTAGTGACGGACATGATGAAGCCGACACTGGTGAATATATATATATGATATTCGATGGAAAAAGAGATGGAAACACGAGGTTGGAAATGCAAAGATGCGAGGGGAAGACGGGGGCTTTTATCTGATACAAAGCCAGGCAGCAGACCACTTAGCGCCGGAGTCGTCGGTACCCTTAGGGTACTTAGAGTTTTGGCGTGCTCCACCTATAATTTTAGGTACCTGGCGTGTACCCTGATCAGCCTCACGAGGAACTCGGACACTTTCTTGGACATTGCCATTTCCCTCGAACAACTTTTGTTCCCTCTATGGGATGGCCATGTATTTACTATTTTGTACTACTTTTTACTGCTTTCTACTATTTGCAAAATTCACCAAATCATCCGATGATATAAATAGAAACCCCTGGGATCATCGGCGTCCAATTCCTCCGTGCCGACCAAACATTGCCAGGTTGCCTCCGATCACCATTGGCCCCCGACATGTTAGCGCTAAATCCAGGGTGCACAGGCGAAGCCGGCTCGGCCAATTCTCCCCATCGAGAGCGAAAAAATAAATAAAAATACCGGTTGAGCCTCAATTGTCTCAGGCAAAGTGTATGTGGCTAGAATTTGCCAGCTTGTATACATTCTAGATCCAATGTGACATGCCCAACTCCCAGAAATCACCAGAAAGTGACTTTCTATAAATATCGGATATCAACCAAAGATCTAAAACGAACCCAACATGACCAGAAAGATGCGAACCAATCAAAGCCAACTCATGGTCGCAGACAACCATCCGTGGATGGGAGACAAAACGCTGAAAAAAAGAGATCAATCATGGTATGTACACAACAAGAATTCTCCAACTTTAGTCAAATAACTTCTTCATGCCCTTGTGTGCCAGCTCAACGCCGAGGAAAGTGGCGGCATTGGCAGGCACCGCACGGGCAAGAGCGGGTCCGAATCCAGGGAAGAAGGCCTTCAAACCGCCGCTAGCGTAAACCGAGCGGATAACACCACCCATGGTAGGCTTGCCCGGTGCGCTCTGCAGGCGGGACTTGATGGTGTCAACGGGGAAGACAGGGATCCACATGGCGATACCGGCAGCACCACCAGCGCACACAACGGCAGATAGGGAGAGCTCGCCCGTCACGTTGCCTTCGGCATCCTTGGGGGTCAAGGAGCGCTTGATGTACTCGTACGCCGCAAAGTAGGCGGCCGAGCCGGGACCATCACGGGCCAACGTCATGGCGCTACCACGGAACACGCTGCGAACACCACCTTCCTTGTACAGCTGGCGCACGACATCCAGACCACCGGAGTACTGAGGTTTCTCGCCCGGAGCCAGTTGCTTCTGGCCCTGGATCTGGAGGAGGACCTTGACACGCTCGAAGGGTGCCGTGATCAGGGTCATGGGGATGGCGGAGAAGAAGCCTGCAGAGGAGATTTGTGCAATGGAGTACTGCGGGGTGTCGTTCTTGACGGGGACGGTAGAGAACTTGCTCACGAGAGTCTTGCCCACGTCGTAACCCTAATTTATTGTTAGTATCGCTTTCGGACGGGCGCTCGCAGCTGTGGGCGCAGAGAAAAAGAAAAAAAGACGAACCCAAAAGCTGACGGCAACTGTGAGACAGGACTGGTTAGCTCATAACTCGACCAATTTCAGATGTGAGAGCCATTATGGCGCATGCTAGAGTACTTACACATGGGAGTAACTCCGACAAGCGGCGCAGAGACACCGGCATACAATCCCTAGGAACCATTGTCAGTTCGGTCGCAAAGTATTCAATATGTTTGTAGTGATCATACTCGAGCCAATCCTTCACGGGCTACCGTCTTCCTGACCACATCCATGGCACCTGAGTAAACTCCCTTTTCGGCCGTCTGCAGGCGCACCTTCACCAGATCAAACGGGTGTCCGACGACCACGGCGCAGAGACCACCAACGGCACCGGCTGCGAGAGAGCGCAGCTGTACAATTGTCTGGTTGACGGCCTTGGTCTCGATGTCGTTGATCTCATTTTCCAGCTGCTGCGCGGTGGGGGAGGTAGAGGAAGACATTGTGGGCGAGTCGGAGCGGGGAGAGACAGGGGTGGAGATAGGGATGGAGGATGAGAGAGGAGGGGTGAAAACTGAACTGCAGGGGCCAAGAGTAAGATGGGAAAGTAATTAGTAGCGCAATAAGAAAAAATTGACCGGGGATCTTCAAATGATGGAGACGGAGACACAGCCGAAGCCGACTGGCCTTCCCCGGACGAAGGTGTGCCTCGGTTCGGCAGCGGAAAAACCGACTCCCCGTGGTAGATACTAGCAAGTAAGAAGGAAGTTTACAGTACTGTAGAACTAAATATTATGGAGACTTTTGGCATGTTTTGCTGGTTTTCCTATAAGAATTGAATTAGAATATACTCCAACGGCGTCAGTGGCCCCGAGTGCGCCAGTCCGGGTGAACGGGAGAGCTCAACCACTCCACGTTTTCCC